CAACACGAGTGATTGGTGCCGTGCGGGGGGGGGGGGGGAGATATAGGGAAGGGGTTCGAGTAGGAGGGAGGGTATAGTTGGATGGGTATACTCATGATGTGGTGTGGTTGGTTTTGGTTGATGTGGCTGTGGTTGTGGCTGTGGTTGTGGCTGGGGTGACTGTGGCTGGGGTGCCTGTGGCTGGGGTGGGTAGCACTGGGGAGTTGTGCTGGTTGTGGTCAGGCGGTGCAAGAGTCGGAAACAGTGCTGTCGGCTTTGGCAAAGGTATGTATGATGATGGGGTTCAGATTGGCTTGGGAGGTAGCACAGTGCTGTGCTTGGCATAGTATACTCATCGCCGTTGTCGCTGTCGTCGCCGGCGTCGTCGTCATCATCATCGTCGTCTTCATCAACGTCATCATCGTCATCGTCCCCAACATGCATGCACGCCTCACCTCACTCACTTTATCTTCACCCTCTGCTTCGCAGGTATGGCATGTGGATCACTTTGTGTGCACACACTGCAAGGAACCGTTTCCGAACCACAAGTTTGTGGCCCATGGAGGCATGCCGTACTGCACGCCGCACTACCTCGAGCTGTTTGGAGAAAAGTGCGCCGGATGTGGCCAGTATATCACCGGCGAAATGCTCAAATCGGGCGACGGCACTTCGTACCATCCACAGTGTATGGTGTGTGTCCGGTGCGAGTGCGTGCTCACCAACACGCAGTTCTACCTCATCGAGAGCAAGCTCTTCTGTGAGCCTTGCTCTATTAGCCAGCTACAGGACAACGGGACGATCGGTGACGGCTCGGCCGCGCCCGACGGCGACGGCCTCTCGGCCCGGGTCGACCTCCTTCCGTGCACCAAATGCGGCGAACTTATCACAGACATGATGGTCACCGCGCTCGACGCCAGCTATCACCAGTCGTGCTTTACCTGCGCCAACTGCTCGACCCTCCTCTCGGGCCCGTTTGCGAGCTCGCGGACCGGCCAGCCGCTGTGCGTCACGTGTGGCCAGCTGCTCGGCCAGCGTGCGCGGTTGGCTCCCAAGCGCTCGCTTTCGACAGGGGGCGACGAAGAGTCCGGAGTCCCGGCGTCGGCGCGCGCGGCTGCAGCCGCAGCCGTTGTCGCGCCGCCCGAGCCGGCCGCGTCGGCGTCGCAACCACCGACCCGTCCGGCGCGCTCGAGCTCGACCGCCGACCCAACGTCCCCGCTGCACCCGCTCAACGTACTCGACCATGACCTTGGCATCCTCACCGGCGCGCTGCAAGAGTACTGCGAGCGCGAGTCGGATGATGTTGTGTTTCTCAAGGGCGCGCTGACCAAGCTGCTACACTCGGTCAAGACACTAGTCGCTCTCGGCAAGGCTGCCAATCTCGACACCGGCCCAGTGTTTTCCGGAGCTGCGGCCGCCATCTCTACCGCCAAGAACATTGTTGTCAAGCCCGAAGAAAAGGCGGTGCACCTTGTCCCGTTTGACACCCAGCTCGGCAGCCTTGTGGCCGCCATCACGGCGCTCATCGCCGAGCTCCGCCGCATCACCGGCGTTGTCCGCCCGGTCGGATGGGAGGCTGCTGCGCCGGTCTTTGCCAACACCCCGCCAGGCTCCCGCCAGTCCATGCCGCCGCTGAAGGCGTCGGCGGCAGCCGGAACCGGTAGCAGCACTGACACACCGGCTGCGCCGCAGCGTGTTCCGCGTGCTCGTGGCATGTCCGAGACCGCACTGGCGTCCCAGCAGACCGCTGCCGCTGCTGCTGCTGCTGCTGCTCTTGCCGCTGTTCCTCCACAGCTTGATGCTGCAGGCAGCTCCGCTGAGCCTCCTCCTACCACCCGGACTGAGCAAGCCGAGTCACGAGCAGCAACGATCCACACATCGACGCCAGGAGACGAAGCCGTGGTGGCGCCCGCAGCCAAGTCGACGACAACGTCCAAGAGCGGTATGACCAAGACGCGAATGCAGATTGGCAATCGGCAGTTTGTGCACATGCGCGATGCCAAGCGGGCCAAGGCGTACACCTCGGTCTCAATGATGGGCTGGATGCGGAAGCGCGGCGGGCGGATGAAGACGTGGAAGGACCGCTGGTTTGTGCTACGCAACTGCGTGCTCTACTACTACAAGTCGCAGGTCGATACCACCCTCCTGATGGGCCACATCATCCTGCCCGAGTACTCGGTCAAGGCCGATGCAACGAGTGACACCGACCGCGAGCACTCTTTTGCGTTGGTCAAGGAGGGCGCGCGGACGTATGTCTTCTCGTGCTCAGACGCCAAGTCACGGCTCAAGTGGCTGAAGGTGCTCGGCGAGGCGACAGCCAAGGACCGGGCCGAAGTCGACGATGCGCATGTCGAGGCCATGGTCGCGTGCATGCTCGCTGGCCAGCCGCTTCCGCTCCGCGAGAGCTTTGCCGACAACCCGGACAAGGTGGTTATTGCCGAAGAGGTGGTAGTCGACGATGGCGTGGAGGAGCGCAACATCCTGGTGCTGGAGAACCAGCTGGTTGTGGCCGGCACAGTCCAGACCCTAGTCGAGCTGCTCTTCTTCCGGCACGGTGCTGATCCGCAGTACGTTGCCACGTTTTTCCTCTGCTACCGGCACGTCATGACGGCTGACGATCTCATGACCCGCATCCAGGTGTGCTTTGAGAGCCCGCCGGTGGATCCGCGCGACCGACTCGACGGTGGGACCGGGAGCGAGGAGGCTGTGTCGGAGATCCGGTTCCGGATCATGCAGGCGCTACAGATGTGGGTCGAGGGCCACTGGTATGACTTTCACGACGCGCCACACCTGGTCGACGCGCTGGAAGAGCTCATGGGCAAGGCGCAGAACCTTCAGGGCCACGAACAGGTCATGCGCGAGATGGCCAAGGAGCTGAAGGCGACGATCAAGCTGTCGCGGTCGGCGGCCAAGGCGGCAGTCAAAGCCGCCCGTAAGCGGGCCAACGACAAGGCGTCGGTCGCGGCGGCGGCCAAGAAAGCCAAGAAGCGGTCGATCATCAACTTTACCACCCAGGTTGAGTCGCCGATCGAGTTTGCCGACGAGATCACCCGGATCGACCAGGAGCTGCTTGAGGGCATCCGGCCCGAGGCGTTTACGCTCCAGCTCTGGGGCACCTACGCCGGCAACGAGTATGTGGAGGCGCTCAAGGACAAGCTCGACGAGCTTGTGGAGCGGTTCAACTTTGTCTCGGCGTGGGCCGGCTCGGAGACGGTGCTCAAGCCGGACCTCGAGTCGCGGGTGGCGACGCTCCGCGCGCTGATCGACATTGGCGACCGGTTGCTCGAGCTGCAGAACTACAACGCGCTCATGGCGCTGGTCTCGGGCCTCAATTCGGCGGCGATGCAGCGGCTCAAGAAGACGTGGGACGCGCTGCCGTCAAGCAAGCGTTCAGCGATGTCCAAGCTCGAGACGGTCATGGACCCGCAGAACAACTACGGGGCGTACCGTAACCGGAACAAGCCACTGACGGCCATTCCCTTTGTCGGCCTCTACCTCAAGGATCTCACGTTCCAGAACGACGGCAACCCCAAGCGAGTCGACGGCGGGCTCATCAACTTTGACAAGTGGCGCCACATCAACAACTCGGTCCGCTCCGTCCTCTCCTACGCCCCGCACTCGCTCAACATCCCGCGCCAAAAGGCCGCCGAGAAATATCTGGCCATCGCCCAGATCCTCGACGAGGACACGGCGTACAAGTACTCGCTCCTCGCCGAGCCACGCGCCAAAAAGGCCGCCGCCGCCGCCGCCTCATCGAGCGACGGCCAGAGTGTCCGGCTCATCGAAAAGTGGATGACCGAGTAAACGCACCAAGCTACGACGTCAGTGTCGGTAGCCGCGGGTGGCGGGCACCGCGGAGCGGCGGCGTAAAGCCTATCGACGTTGCCGCGCGCCCCCGGCCCGATCGTCTAGCTGCGCCCGGCGAGTGCGCCCGGCGGCGAGTGCGCCCGCGGAGTGGGATGCCGGTCGACGGGCCGCGGCCGAGCGCCAGCGCCGAGCGCGAGCGGAGCTCTTCGCGCGGCAGCGGCTCCGGGAGGCCCATCGACGAAGCCGGCCGATGCGGGACAGCAAAGTAGCCGAGCGCCGAGTCGTGCTGGATCCAGCGGACATGCGGCGCGTCGCGGTGCGGCGCCGCCTGCCACTCGCCGGCGGTCGCCAGAAGCGGTGGGAGGAGGATCTGCCCGCGCGACTCGGCCCGGAGGTGCGTGTTGTACATCGACCGCTTGTGCGACGCCGGGAGCTGGTCACCAGTCCGCTCCAGCGACCGACCAAACCGCGACTTGCGTCCCAGCGCACGCAGCGCCACGCTCAAGTCGCCGGCAAAACGTCCAGTGGCCGAGCGCGTCGAAGGCGCGCGGGTCATACCAACCGGCGGCGGTGCCGGCTCTGGATCGGTGGTGTGACCGCCAAGCAGTGCGTCGGCCTCGTTCGCCCTATTAGCCTCGGCCTCAAAGTCGTCCGCCAGCGACGACTTGGAGCCGGAACGCCGACCAAGGCGGCGGCGGACTTTCTGTCGCCGCCGCCGCCGGGCGGTGCCGCCCGACGACTCCGATCCGTCACTGTCGCCGTGCCCGTCGCCCGACTTGTCCTTGTCTCTCTTCTTCTTCTTCTTCCGCTTCTTCTTGGACGAGTCTCCACCCTCTGATGCCTCTGACGTTTCGGTTCGGGCCGTAGGCGGCGCAGAGCCATCTCCCTCTGCCGGCATCGCATCATCCGCCGACTCGCGGTGCTTCTTCTTCGACTTGCGCTTCCGCTTCCCGCCATCATTCGCCTCTTTCTCGTCGACGCGGCTGGCATCATCATCAGCCAACAACGACTTGTCCTTCTTCTTCCTCTTTGATCTTGACCGGCCGTTGCCTGTGGCCGCAGTGTCGGCACCGGCATCAGCGCCAGCGTCTGCATTGCCATCAGCACCTGCCGACTTGGACTTTTTGACCGACTTTGACTTGCCCGATTTGTCCGTTCTTGACTTGCGCCGTTTGCTTGAATGCCCGTCACCACCACCGCCGTCACCGCCACCGCCGTCACCGCCACCGCTGCCGCCTTTGCTGTTGGCTTGGCCAGCGCGAGCCGAGCCGGCCGAGCCGGTACCACCGGATGGCGCTGCTCCTGCCGACTTGCCCGAGCTGCGCTGTCTGCTACTGTTCCCTCCGTTCTCGCCCTTGCTCCCGCCGCCTTTGCTTGACCGGCGCTTCTTGCTTCGTCGCCTGCTCCCTTCGGGCATGACTGTGTGGCGCGGAGAAGGGGGACGGGGCGGGGGTGGCCGTTGAGCGGGAGTGAGGTGAGCAAATTGGCGATGAGCGTTGGAGGGGAGGGCAATGATTAGTTGAAGGAGAGTTAATCGAGGGCAATGATTAGTTGCAGGAATGTTAATCGAGGGTGATTGGGTGAAGGAGAGTTAATCGAGGGCAATGATTAGTTGAAGGAGAGTTAATCGAAGATGATTAGTTGAAGGAGAGTTAATCGAGGGCAATGATAAGCGGAAGAGAATCAATCGAAAGGTGCCGTCGTCGGCAGGTGGCGCGGGCAGGCAGGGAGGCAGGCAAGGCAAGACAGGGGGGGGACTGATCAGGGTTTACAGCGACTTCTTCTCTACCTGGACAGTGGTCACATGCATGCCTAGCTGTGACTTGAGGACATGCTCGACGCCGAGGCGGACGGCCTGCTCTGAGGCGGACGGCTCAGCGACGACGTGGACGGTGGCGACGGCCGTGGTCTCGTCCTGGCGCCACATATGGAGGTCCGAGGCGGCGACGACACCCGGGACAGCGTGGATGGCGTCGACGGCACGGGCGGTGCGGCGCGGAGTGACGCCGTTCGGCACCCGCTGAAGCAGGACGGCCGTGGCGTTTTGCAGCAACGGAATGACCGAGAGGAAGATGAGGACCGAGATGAAGATCGAGGTGATCGGGTCCGAGATGGTCCACCCAAACCACTCGATGAGGAGCGAGGAGATGATGACACCGACCGAACCAAGGGTGTCTGCGAGGACGTGGAGGAAGACGCCGTGCATGGAGATGTTCTCCTCGTCGTCGCCGCCGTCGCCGCCGTGTGAGTGCCCGTGGCCATTGCCGGCCTCGGCATCGCCGTGAGCGTGAGAGTGCCCGTGCGAGTGTCCGCCGCCGCCGCCGTGCGAGTGCCCGTGGTGGTCGTGGAAGGCAAAGAGGCCGACAAGGTTGACAACGAGGCCGAGAACGGCCACAAGGAGTAGCCGGTCTGTGCTCACGTCCTCGGGCGCAAAGAGGCGGGCGACCGACTCGCCGAGAACCGAAATGGCGATAAAGACGAGGAAGACGCCGTTGACGTAGCCTGAGAGAATCTCGTACCGTCCGTAGCCAAACGAGTAGACCGAGTTGGATGGCCACTGCGCCATGACCGTGCAGTAGAGTGCAATGGCCAGCGCGGTGCAGTCGAACAGCATGTGGAAAGCGTCGGAGAGGAGCGAGAGCGAGTTGGTCCAGAACCCATACACGAGCTCCACAAACATGAACAGCAGATTGACAACGAGAAAGCCAAAGATCTTGCGGGAGTCCTGACCGGTCACAATCTGCTTGAGTACCGAAGTGAAGACCGCGATCGATGATGTCGACAGGAGCGACCCGTCGCTCCGCGCCTCGCCCTTGCCGCGCTTCTTGCCCGGGACGTGAAGCAGGTCGCGGAGGCCGAAAATGACCGCGGCAGCGAGGGCGATCCCGCTCAGCGGCACGCTTCCGGTCCGCATAAACTCGATGCCCCCCGCTGTCGCCGCTGCCGCTCCAAACCCGAGCTGTGCCACAAACGACGGCGCAAGCACTGCCTTCTTCTCCAGCACCCGCACGTCGACATAGTAGTTGAACACAAGAAGGCCGAGCGCGAGGACCATCAGCTGGACCAGCCCCGAGAGTGAGCTCGGCGCAAGGCTTCCAAGCCAAGCCTCTCCTGCGCCGAGCCGCATGCCTTGTACCACGGCCGCGGGCAGGAGCAGTGCGCCCGAGAGCAGCGTCGAGAGCGCATGCAGCCGCTTAACCCCGTTGACCGCCACTCCCAGTCGCCGGCCAAGAAGCTTTTGCGCCACAGACGCCACAAGCGAAGCCACAAGCGCCATCACGCCCTTGGCCGCCGGCGACGCCAACAGGCTCCCGTCGCCACCGGCATCCGCCTCTGGAGTTGGAATGGCGCCGATTCCACCGACTCGCCCGCTCGCTACGGCGCACAGGACACTGACAAGGACAAGCGCACCGCGCATCCGCCCGCTCGACCACCGCTGCCCCGCCAGGCTGACGTCCTTGTCACCGCGCCCGCCCGCGGTGGGTACCTTGGCCACCAGCAGGCCAAGCGCAACCACAAAGGCAGTGTCGGTAAAGCCTGAGGCTATGACCGCCAGCAGCGGACCAAGCAGTTCGAGCGCAACAAGCCAGGCCATAAAGGCCGCGGCGCCGAGCACAGCGTGGACCGCGATCCATGCCCAGTCTGTCGAGTGGATGCGGCGGTGGTACGGAGCGAGCGGCCGCTGCAGCGCTGCAAACACCACGCCGGCTGTCACCAGCAGCGCAGCCGCAACAGACACTGTCTGCCCGCCATTGCCCACCAGCGCATAGCTCGCCGCGCTCCACACCGCCTTGGCCACCACCAGCAGGAACAGCAACGCAGTGTTGCTGTGACGAGCACACAAAGGGGAGAGGAGTCAGTGCCACGTTGAGGGAGATTAGGCCAGCCAGCGCCCGAGTCGATGACCGCCAGCCAGCGCCCGAGTCGATGACCGCGTGACCGCGCCCGCGCCCGAGTCGATGACCGTGCCCGAGTCGATGACCGTGCCCGAGTCGATGACCGCGCCCGAGTCGAAGACCGCAGCACCCACCATGACAGAACCAGCCAGCAGCCCCACCCAACCCATACCCATACCCATACCCACAGGTGCAACCATGAGTCTCTCCCTCTCCCCTCTCCTCCGACCCGTCCGTCTCCCTCTGCCTCTCCTCCGCCACACACACACACACACACACACACACATACACACACACACACACACACCTTCCCCTCACCACCCTCCCCCTCACCACCCACCCACCCACCATGACCAACATCCTCGTTACCTACCTCTCTTCTCGCTCTCGTCCTCCTCCAAGTCCCTGGCGTGAAAGCATGCTTGTCTGACCAAGGAGAAAGACACGCACTCGCAGCGAGTGACGTGGTGGCCGCCCAACGACGGATCGAACGCAGGCGACCGTGACGCCCGTGGATGGGCGCAGGCGATGGAGTCGGATAACGCTCATGCCACACAAACATGACTGCAGATCACATGTGATTGTGTGCGGCGTGTGGTAGGTGGTCTGGACGAGGTCTAGTGGTTGTGCTGTGGCTGGATCGAATGCTTGTGGCCGCCCAACAGGCGACCGTGACGCCCGTGGATGGGCGCAGGCGATGGAGTCGGATAACGCTCATGCCACACCAACATGACTGCAGATTACATGTGATTGTGTGCGGCGTGTGGTAGGTGGTCTGGACGAGGTCTAGTGGTTGTGCTGTGGCTGGATCGAATGCTTGTGGCCGCCCAACAGGCGACCGTGACGCCCGTGGATGGGCGCAGGCGATGGAGTCGGATAACGCTCATGCCACACAAACATGACTGCAGATCACATGTGATTGTGTGCGGCGTGTGGTAGGTGGTCTGGACGAGGTCTAGTGGTTGTGCTGTGGCTGGATCGAATGCTTGTGGCCGCCCAACAGGCGACCGTGACGCCCGTGGATGGGCGCAGGCGATGGAGTCGGATAACGCTCATGCCACACCAACATGATTGCAGATCACATGTGATTGTGTGCGGCGTGTGGTAGGTGGTCTGGACGAGGTCCAGTGGTTGTGCTGTGGCTGGATCGAATGCTTGTGGCCGCCCAACGTCGGATCGAACGCAGGCGACCGCATCGGCTGTCCGCCTTTGTTGCGGCAGCTGCGATCGGCCCGGTTTCGCACATGAGACGCCATCACGCTTTTACAACATGCCATCATCACTTCAACTATGCTCACACATACTCTATGATTGTCCATGCTCTGCGCTCACCCTCGTGGTGTCCCTTGTCCGACGCAGGCGCAAGCATCTTCAACAAGTCGTCCTCGCTACAAAAACAGCGATCATCCACACAGCAGCGCTCAGCTCGTCACACACCAGCCAACCTCGCGCCCACAACATCGTCTTCGCAAAGCACTCGCCGCCCACCTACGAGTAAAGATCACATGCTTGATGACGGGCGATGCTTAAATCTGAGCTTCAGCAGCCTGGTAACCGCGTCAGAGTACTGCAGCTGATGGCAGCGTTGCGCCCGGCCGACCGCGCGGCGCCAACTCGGCACGACAACCATCATCACCACCATCAGCAGCAGCAGCAGCAGCAGCAGCAGCAGCAGCAGCAGCAGCAGCAGCAATACGATTCCTCAACCGTCACCATCAACCGTCACCATCAGCCGTCACCATCAATCAGCCAGCCGCTGGCTCTACATCTGCCTCTGCCTCTGGCACTGCCTCTGGCACTCTGTCCTCACACACCCACCCAGCTCACCACCCGACTACTTACCGGTCCACTGACGGGCAGTATGAGCGGGGATGAGGACGTCATGACGACTGCCAAGAACTTTGTCCGCACACGCATCATCAACCCATTCAAAGCCCTTCGCGGACGAGTGGTACGTCACCGAGTGGGTGGAGGGGGGGGGGGGGGGGAGGGGGGGGAGAGGGGGCAGGGGCTCCCTCCGCCCAGCCAGGGTCGACTTGACGACCTGGTCCGACACAGCCTCAAGCGACGCGTGTGAGAGCAGAGGAGGAGGTAAGGTGGGAGTATGGACTTACCTGTTGTGTGTGCTTCGGTATTGGGGTGTTCGGTGGCGTTCGGGTGGGGGCCTGTGGGGCTTGTGGGGCTTGTGGGGGGGGGGGTTGCCTGGGGGGGGGGGGGGGTGGTCGGGGCTGGTCGCTGGTTTATGATTGTTTGTTGTTGGATTAATCGTTGGTCCTCGGCTGCCCTGCAAATCATGCTGCTCGCTCCTTGCTGCTCGCTCCTTGCTGCTCGCTCCCTGCTGCTCGTCCACTCGCTTGCTCACTCGCTTTATGGTCCTCGAGAGTGATGGCAGATGCTCGAACAAGCGATCTTCTTCGGTCTCATTGTGGCCAACGCGTTCATTCTGTGGAAGACGCTGACGGTGGTCTCCGGCTCCGAGTCGCCCATTGTTGTGGTGCTCTCGGGCTCGATGCGCCCGGCCTTTGACCGTGGCGACCTCCTCTTTCTCACCATGGGATCTTCTCCGCTCCGGGTCGGCGAAATCGTAGTCTACGCTCTCCCAGGCCGGGCCATCCCCATCGTCCATCGCATTGTATCGCTACACGAGTCGCGATCGTCCGGCAAGGTCGACCTGCTGACAAAGGGCGACAACAACGACGTCGACGACCTTGGCCTCTACCCTCGCGGCGTCTGGTGGCTCCATCGAGAGAACATCATCGGCCGCGCAGGCGGCTTTGCCCGCGGCGCTGGCGTCATGACCATCGCCATGAACGACATGCCCCAGCTCAAGTGGGCCATGATCGGCGGCCTCTTCTTGTACGTCCTCCTCAATCGCGACGGCTGAGCCCTCCCCCTTGCCTGGTGGCTCTCAACGTGTAAACGCCCTTCCTACCTAGCTAGCCGAGGGGCATGGCCCGTCGCATCACTTTGCATTCCATCACACTCTCGATAGCCGGCCGAGCAGTTGCTCCGCTGGCTCGACGGCTTGAGAAATTTCCTCGACTTTACGTTGCTGGCCTTTGTACCAACACATCGTGCCGATTGGCATGGTGATCCGCGTATACATGGGCGCCCATCGATAGCTCGCTTCACACACGATGATCAAGGCAGTCGTGGCAACACTCGTCTGTTTTTTCGATCAAATTATGGGCAATTGGCGGAAGGCTGTGCCGACATCGCCGCGGGCGTCACCCGAGCCGAGCAGCTCGACGACGGGCGGAGTTACCAAGGCTAAGGATGCGCTTGGTACAGGAGCTGGCAAGCCGAAAAAGGGCAACCGCAAGCCTGCTTCCCGTGGCAACAAGTCAGGTCGGGCATGGAAGCCAAAGGCTGTACGTACCTTCCTCCATCCTCCTATTCATGCCCCCTCCCCCTCTTTCCCCCTCCCTCTCCCCCCTCGCCAGGATCACAAAGGATGGATGGACGTGTGGACGCCCCCTCCCCCCCCCCCCTCCCTCCCTCCCCCCTCCATGAGCAGACCGGCATCACCTATGGACCTCTCACCATGGCATATACTCACTCACATACATCATTTTCACATCATGTCATCTTGGCTATGGATGCTTTATATCGCGGTTGTGGATAATGCTCGGAATCGCCCGTATGCGCTGCTTCTGGTCGTGACGTGCGGCGGCGGCGGCGGGGGGACGGGGTGACCGGCAAACCGCCCTCATCACCTGCATCACCTGCATCACCCGCATCACCTTCATCACCCGCATCACCTGCATCACCCGCATCACCTCCTCATCACCCACACCACCCACACCACCCTCATCACTACCCACACCACCCTCATCACCTCCTCATCACCCTCACTATCTCAGAAGTCGAGGGCATCGGCCATGCATCAGGGCAAGGGCCTCCATCAGGGGACCAAGGTCAAGCTGAGCAAGGAGAAGGCTGAGCGGGCTCGGCGTGAGGCGCTGCGCGAGCTCAAGGAGCAGGCTCGGGCTGAAAAGGAGAAGGAGATCCTTCGCATCAAGCAGGCTCGCAAGCAGAGGGCCTTCAACAAGGCAAGAGCCGAGATGGTCCAGAAGGTCACAAACTCGACGACTCTCGGCCGTCTCTCGGCACGCCAGAAGCGCGAGATCGCAAAGCGGACAGAGGTTCTGCGTCTCTCTTACTTTGGCCTCGAGGAGACCGCAAAGGGCACCCTCTAGCCTTTCCTCCGTTCTGTCGCGGCTGCGCGTACCTTCACTCACCTCCGTCTTGCATCTGGCGCTGGCCGTCATCGTCTGCGCCGCGCTTCAGGTCGACGCTGTGCGTCACGCCTACCCTCGCCACCACTCCCGATCTCCCTGCCAACCACCCAGCCGCCCATGTCTGGCCTGTGCAGGCCACACCACCAAACACCAACATACACATCCTCTCCCCAAAGCCACACCGCGCCAGTCAGATGTGTGCCAACCAAACTCCGGACGCGTGCGACCCGCGGCAAGCATCTCGGTAGTATCGACCTCGCGGCGGCGAGCAGTGCGGCGGCGCGATAAGCCTCTCGCCGCCTTCGCCATTCCAATGGAGGGCTTTATCCAGCAGCAGTGGTGGTTCGAGGGCGTAGTGCTCTCACGGCGGCAGCTGTTTGCCTTGGCGGCGGCGGTGGTGCCTGCTGGCTTGTCGTTCCTGGGCCCAAACTGGGTGCAATCCTCCTCGGCATTTCATCTCCTTCTCCTGCTGCGGCCGAGTTTGTCCGAGACGAGCGCGAACACCGCGGCGCTGCTTTTCGACACTCCTCTGCGTCTCGGCGCTTGACGCGCGGTCGAACAGGGAGACGATCGCAAACATGGCGCTGGTGGTCCTCGTTGGCAACAGAGTCATAGGCGTGGTGCTGGTCGGCACGCGTGCAAGTTGTGCGGAAGGGAAGGCGTCATGACGAGCGGCTATCCGCGCCCGGCGCGGTGGACGGCGTTGCGGGCATCGGAGGCGGCACCGAGCGAGAGCGAGCGGCGACGGCTCAGAGAGGATGAGCTCGCGGCCGGGGCGTCAATGGTGACGTGAACGTCGCGGATGGAGAGCTCTGCCGGTGGTGTGCGGCCAGGACCGTCGATGGTGGGTGGCTCGCGCGGGTCTGCGGGACCAAAGTCGGGAACGACGGCGGCGGCGACGGGCGGGGCCTGGCCGGGGATGCGGTTAAGGAACATGGAGATGACCCAGCCGTCAAGGCCGCGGTCGGGCCACTCAATGTGGTACGAAGTAAACGCGCGCGAGCGGACGACGTCGCCGGTGGCAACGACTTCTGTGCCCTCGGGGATGAGGGCAACGACGTCGCCACGAGGCTCGGCACGGAGACGGAGGCCTTCGGCGGCAGTGCCCATGACGACGTAGCGGATGCCGCGGTGGGTGCCAGTCAGCTCGCCAGCGCGCTCGTAGTCTGCGGTAACGAGGGTAAACTTGAAGCGGGCCTTGGTGGCGTCGTCGAGGTCGATGGCGTCAAACTCGGCGTGGGTGAGGAGAGCGGAGCGGAAGGCAGTGACGTCTGCCGAGGCCCAGTCGAGCTTGGCGCCGCGGAGGTCTGCGCCGGTGAAGCGGGCGTTGGCGAGCGCGGCCGCCGTCAGGTCTGCGCCGCGTAGGTCCGAGCGCTGCAGCTTGGCGTACTCGAGGTTGGCGGACGAGAGGTCCGCGCCGGCGAGGCAAGCCTGCTGAAAGTAGGCGTTGCGCGCCGAGGCCGAGACGAGCGACGCTTGCGAGAGGTCAGCCTGCGAAAAGTTGGCCTCGTTGAGGATGGCGTCGTCCAGCGAGGCGTGCGGAAGGCAGGCCTTGCGGGCGTCGACGTTGCTGAGCGCGGTGCCGACGAGCGAGGCGTGGGCCAGGAGCGCGTCGCGCAGGTCAGCCGCAACCATCAGCGCTTGGTCGAGGACGGTTCCGGTCAGGTGCGCGCGCTGCAGGTTTGCGCCCGACAAGTCAAGGCAGGCCAGATCGAGCTCGTTGAGTCGCACACCGCGGAGCGAGGGCAGCCGCGGATTGGTCTCGCCCGACTCAACAATGACAGCCTGGGGGGTGGCGAGGGAAGCGCCGGATGTGGCCGGATCGGACGGGATGACGATGCGGCGAGAGGAGAGCGCGCGGCTCGAGCCGCTGCTCACATGATCCGACGACGCTGGTGCCCAGCCTGAGGAGACAAGAGCAGCCACAAAGTGAGCGCGAGTAGCAAAGTCGGGCGTGGCCTGAAGAGCCGAGACCAGCGGCTCGATGCCGAAAAAGGCAGCGTCTTGCAAGAGCGTCGACTTTGCCACGGATGGCGGGAGCGGCGATGGGAGGGTGTTTGAGCGGAGATAGGAGAGAATGACGGAAAAACAGTCCGGATTAGCATCCAATAAAATATTTCCTTCCTTGTCACAACTTGAGCCCATGTCACTCGTGACCAGCGAGGCGAGGAAGGAGTTTGGGTGGAGGGTGAGGGTGGCGTGGGTGGTGACAAACACACGCCCGCCGACGTTGAGCGAGACCCACCGAGCCGGGAGGCCCGACGACGAGCTTGGCTCAGACGGAGAGGAGGAGGAGGACATGGGGGTGG